TTTTACTGCCCCATTTCCGGCGTTTGCCTCCCCATTTCTCATCATCTTTCTGCACACTTATGCACACACCACGTCAGTGCCCCAAACGCTTCATCCGTGGTGCACGGTACGTGCACTTTGAAATAGAAGCATAATTTCGAAGCATTTTCCTGCAACCTACTGTTCCACCACCGCAAACGCTACCTCTGTAATTACATGTAGATGCGCTGTGCCCTTACCGCAGTTCCGGACAACATTTATGGCCCATTGTTTGTAGGTGATGCAACCGCTATCCGACATCTTTGTCCTAGCATTTACAGTGGCCGCAGCAAGCCAATAGACGTTCACGAGTTCTTGCATTCGACCATACAGGATATGAAGAACGATGCGTTCATTCACGCTGGCGGTCCACAAGTCCAACTGGACCTTAAGTGCGTTGCTGCTGAGGCACCAGTAAATCCACCACTAAATCAGACTAAACAACATTCAGGATACTTCTTATGCGGAGTGTGTACGGCCTTTGATATGTTAACATTTAGTCCTAAGTTCTCACATAATAGACCTATACCAAGATCGTCGGATGACTTTCCTGGTATGTGTGAAGCATATCATTCGGACAAATGTAGGTTTCCTTTTCCTTAATATTTAGGCTGCATTACCTCCAGCAAATTTGATACCATCGTGTTGTTATGGACATATATTTGGACACTTATTCTGAGCGCTGCCATCTAGACTCAAAACAGACTAAATTCGGGCCCTCCGCACTTAAAACGTCATTTACAAACCGAGGAATAATTCTTTATATGCAAGCTGTTGATCGTGCAAAACTATTGAGTAACGTCTAATCAGGTTTAAAGAAATGGAAAATATTTGCACATGAATGGTTGAATGCAGCTTCAATATTATACTGAGCACCCGAATTTGGTCCCAAATGCGACACATTTTGGGCGTTTACGACCGCGTGTAATGTGTGGAAACGAGGCCATTTCCGGACGCTTATCGGGCACACATCATGCGTCTTTTGGTCGCCTTTCTGGTGTCCTTTCCGGCACTTAAGTGGCTGAAAGGGACAGAGAGCATATGCTTAACCTATGCAACATCTGCCCATCCAACAGTTGTTGGGCATCCCAGCTACATCTTATACCCAGAAAGTCTGGTGATTGATGTCCATGCGGTGAGTACCGAGCAACCAACGCTATTACGATCCCCGGCAAATACCCCTTTCTTCATATTCATAAATGGTAATGTCCGGGAAATCCGCCTTCCGGGCGATTGAGCTTTGCTGAGCGCACCATCAAATTCCCGTGGAAATTGAAGACATTGCTATAGTGCTCATTATCACAACTTTCTGTTTGTACGAGTTCATTCGTTTGCCTTTTGGCCTTCGCATTGCAACACAGTCTTTTTAGCGCTTCATCGACTAGGTCCTCCGTTGGCTTGACTTTGTTTTCCCCTACATCAAACAATTTTACCAGCTATTGCTACGCCAGAAAAACACATGGATCAGCTTCGACAAGTAATTGAATGCCTCGATCATAACGAGATAAACAATCTTACTAAATGTCCATTTTGGCAATCTAGCGCCGATTTTCTTGGTCAGAAAACTGTAGTAAAGGCATTAATACCATCCCTGCGACAACCCAGACAAACATGCACTATCCACTGCCTCACTATGTTAAAATCCTGCACCAATTCCTTGGCATGGTTAATTATCACGAAAGATTTGTTGACAGCTGTGCCGCAGTTCTTCAGCCTTTAGATGATTTATTTAAAGGTAATCCAAAGAAGTTCATCATCACTTCAGTACCCAAAACACTGTGTGTTGCAATCAATCTAAAATTAGCTAGGTAAATTCCCTGAACTACGTGGATACGGAGGTTAAATCTACTCTCGTTCTCAAGGCTGACGCTTAACAATTCCCTGTCGGTGCTGTATTACAACAAGCAATCGACAATGAGATTCAGCCGCTACCTTGCGTTTCTCGGAAGCTATAGCCAGCACAAAACAAGATATACCACGTTGGTCGCGAAATTCTTGCAACGCAGTTGTCCGTTAAACACTCTTGTCACGTCATTGAAGAGCGACGATGTACTCTTGACGGACCACAAGCAGTTGGTCTACACTTCTCGTGCATCTTCGCTATTCTCCGACAGAGACACGACACATGGATTGCCTCTTACGCACCTGTGTCGATATTCGCTACCTCAAATGTCCTAGCTATGTTGTTGCATGTGCACATTTACGCGCTCACCTACATCAATTTACCACCCTCCAATAGACCTTGAGGCAAAGTCTGTTGTTTATAACAACGATTCTGAACCCATTTAGCTTCTATCGAATACCACGTTGAGATCATTGCAATTATCAGTGTTAAACTATGATGCAAACATTCACTGTGATGTCTCTACCGGTAAGCCAGGGCTGTTTGATCCCCTCTTTCTGGCAAACAGTCTTCGACAATGAACTATCGCATCCTAACAATCGATTAACTGTGAATTTGTTTACTGTGCGCTCCGATACCCGTCATTGAGCTAAGCACTGTCTCAGCCGCCAGAGCAGCAATGTACACTAAAATAATATCTTTGCCCCCGGAAATTTTCCACAATCTGAGGCGCGTGTTACACACGTCTACCTAGATAGAGTCAAACGGCTTTCACCATCGAATAACTTCACTTTCATTTTGACTAGTAATAACCGTTTTACTCGTTGCCCACCTGCCATTCTTTTACGTGACTTACCTTCAGAAGATGTGGCCCATGCATTTTTCGACTCACGGATTTCCTCTTCTGTTGTACCATCTACGATCACTACAGATCGAAGCCCACAATTTAGTTCCACCTTTTACCATGACTTAAATCATCAGCTTAGATGTACCCGCATTCGGACAATTGTTTATCATCCCACTTCAAATGGCTTGTCGAGCGTTTCCATCTACAGATTAAACACGCCATCACAGGTAATTCACCTAACCCACATTGGTGTGAACGCGTTCCAGCCGTCCTACTTGGTATTGGTAATACCTTTAATGCGGCTTTGCGTTAAAATTCTGCCGATCTCGCCTTTGGCATCACTCTCATGCTGCCAGGTTAGATGATTTTGGATTTCCGAGTTGCTGGTGAACTGATTCCTGTGTCCTACGCCGAATGTCTTAAAAATACTTCCGAACATTGCAACCTACATCTTCTAGCTTCACTGCCCTCGAACAACAAAGTCATCTAGCCTTACACAATTGTCCATTGGCTTTCATTCGCAATGATGCAGTTCGCAAAACTCTCGACAACCAATTTTGAAGGTACTTTCAGTGTCGTCACGGAAGTCTAGGTACATCATCCTGGAAAGTAATGGATTGAAAGAATCTACGAGTAAAGATCGTCTTAACCCCGCTTATTCTGAGCATATTGTTACTATGACTGATCTCATGTTGTTATCCCCTGTTGGTAAACCGACCAATTCAATTCCTCCAACAAAATCATGCGCTTGCTCAACGGATGATACAAACACACAGGTTTAGGTCGTTCTGTGTCGTTCCTCTCCAAACTAGCTTTGTTCCCTAAATAGCTATATAGAGTGTTATCATAACAGTTCACGATCTCCGGAGGGAGTTATGTAATGCTTATTAAACTTACATCTTTTGTCGTTTCTACCAACAATTTTATCATGACATCTCTTTTACAGCTTTTCGAAGTAACGATTGCAATATACTACCTCATGGCCTGCTCTTCGTAGTACTGATTTTGGCTGTGCTCCTTCTGCTTGTGTACAGTGCTGTTCACTCAGCTTGCGAATCGGATATAAGAAGCAGAATTACTGTCGGACGCATATTTCCATCGTGCTCGACGTGTGCCACAGGTATAGCGCAATCCACTATAGGAAATCAATTGTGATTCGAATGTGAGTGGCGTATTTCCGAAAGATTTGGCGTCTGCTTATGGACTGAAATATCCCTAGTATTCTTTCTTCCATTAGAGCACTTGTCGGCAACATGAGACATGAATTGTGTTGGATAGACAGCAGTATATCCTTCTGGGAAACAGCGATGATTTACCTTCTAACTGTCCTGATTGTGTTAAGCACAAAGCATATTGTCCAGTCCAAAATGACTCATTTGCAATATTGGTGGATATA